AATTTATCCGCGCATCGCGCGGGTACTATACTAGTATTATTAAAAAGAGAGGAAAAAGCCCTCTCCTTAAGCCAAGTGGCAACCTAAAAAAATACCACATGTAATAACCAATAACTAATTATAAACTAAATAACTAAAAAGCCACATGGCATATTAGTTATTTAGTTTATAATTAGTTATTGGTTATTATTTTTGAATTTAAATAGATATAATAAACGAAAATAATAAAATAAAATAAAAAACTACCATATATATATATATATATATAAAAAAAAGAGAAATGAAAGCATGGTTTCGGAAGTAACATACAAGAATAATTTGTACACGACTTGATTTTTCTTCCCATGGCGTATACAACTTCGAGTATAACGTTTTACAAGACGGTCTCCTAGAGAGGTTTTTATGTATATATCAATTTGCCATCGTACATTATAAACATTAATAGTATTTGGAATCACTATAATAGGTATTCCCATCCTTTATGCAATTTTCTTACTGTGGTTGAAGGTGGATCCATTATCTTCTCTTACTTCATATGATAATAAACTACATCTTACTACTGTATTGCGATGAATTATGAGTAAAATTTAAAGGTATCACCTAGAAGATATATTTACAAAAACCAGCAGCTATTGTGCAGAATCCATATCACACAACAACTATAAGTAGAGTTGAGCATTCACAAATTACAAAAACTCCTAACATTACAACATATGCGTTAAAATAGTTTCATGATAGTAGGTGCATGCTAATCTCCAATTAAAAAAAAATTAACCATTTCTTACAAAGACCATCGTCTTGGAAACAATATATTATGTCGTACAATCCACATTTTTTGCAATAAAAACAACAATTATTCTATCAATGTGGAAGGCATACACCTTATAATTCAATGTTGGAATGAATGTACATACAATCACAGTCTTACATAACAACATTTGCGAGGGACAATAAAAGTACTATTTGATATTTCTATTTTACTCAAACCATTTGTTTTTTTCTTTACTGCTCTTCGTTGATACTCTGTAAAAAAAATACAGCTAATACATCAATTATCAAAGATAAATACTTTATCTATCTGTCAAGTTGCTTCATTTCATCAATGAACATAAATAAGGTAAACAATGAAATGCTATTTAATATGACTTCATGCGTTATAAATTATACTAAAAATTATGATTTTGGACTTTCTTTTTTCGTTATAGGTGTTGGAGATCACCATACGTCTGAAGTAGCTTCACAGGTTTTGGAAAGTTTCTTCAAATGCTACTTTCATGCACTTCATTCATACGTACCCACCTATATTACTTTCAACAAATTCATCTATTTATTTTTTAATTTTACTCCTTCTGTATTCGATCGCTAATTCTAATTTGCAATATACATATTTTTATTATCTCTGTAAACTCTTCTTTTCTTATAATTTATCCGCGCATCGCGCGGGTACTATACTAGTATTATTAAAAAGAGAGGAAAAAAGCCCTCTCCCTTAAGCCAAGTGGCAACCTAAAAAAATACCACATGTAATAACCAATAACTAATTATAAACTAAATAACTAAAATCAAAAATCAAAAATACATAAATATATATAAAAATCAAAAATAATAAAATTATATATATATATATATATATATTATAATATAATATATATATATATATATTATATATATGTATGTATGTAATGTATATTAATTGTTACTTCATTTGGATTAATAAATATAGATATCTTATAATTAAATATTAAAAAAACAAAAAATAAATATATAAAAAATAACTACCCCCAAATTGGGCGGGAGTAGTTTGAAGTTGGATTATTTAAATTACTTTAAAATAAAAGGCAAAAAAAATAGCTATAAAAATGAAAAAAGAGAAGAACTATCCATTCAAATCGGGAAGTAGTTTCAAGTTGGAGTTTTAAAATAATTTTTAAATAACAAATGAAATTAAAAATAATGAATTACTAATTCAAATTTGCGAGTGATTTCAAATTGGAGTTTTAAAAATTATTTTAAAATTAAAAAAACGAAAATAAAGAAATTAAAAAACTTTTAAAGAAAAATTAAATTAAATAAAGTTATATGCTAATAAATATTTATATTAAAAATATAATAATATTAAATATTAGATGATATAATAAAGAAAAATACATAACAAAAATTTTATTCAATGCTCCCCGTATAAGTCCCGACAGTTTAACAGAGATTTTATTCATTAAAATTCAGATAATACTATTAAGAACAACAGAATAAAATTTAAGGCAGAAAAATATTTCATCAGTAATAAATTATATATCTTCTAAAATATTACAAAAAGAAAGCGAATACTAAACAATGGCTAATATAATAAAGAAAAATATAGAACAAAAGTTATTGGTTATTATTTTTTGATTTAAATATATATAAAAAATGAAAATAAAAAAATAAAAACATACATACATACATACATACATATATATATATATATAATATATATATATATAATAGCTATAAAAACGAAAGAAAG